CTGAGAGGCAGGATCACAGAGGAGTTGAGAGCCTGGGTCTGCAGCCAGACTTCAGGGCTCCGAACTGAGGCTGTGTCACTTACTAGCTGCACGACCTTGAGAAGCTGCTTAACTTCTGTGTCTATGTTTCCTCTTGTTTAAAACCAAGGTAACAATGGCTCCCGCATTGGGTTGCTATGAGCATTCATCATGAGTAAATATGTAAAAAGCCTTAGGAGAGTAGCTGATAGGTCTTAAGTGCCACGAAAGAGCCATTATTATTCTTGGAGGGAAGAGAGAGAAGAAGAGAGGTGGGAGGTGGAACGAAGCGGATGTTTCGGCAGTTCAGGCTTAAGAGAGATGGGGCCAAGTCCACACAAGAGGATGGAGTCAAAACCAAACCAAACCAGGTTAGAAGTGATTTCTATCTCTGCCGGAGGAGCTGTGTGTGACGCTGGCCCTGAGCCAACTTGAGAGCCGGATGCGGGCGGGGGTGTCCTGCTGGTGCTGTTGTGTTGGGGCATGCTGGGAGGTTTTTTTCTTTGGATCTGCAGCTAGAGATGCACAAAGTCCAGAGGGGAGGGGTGGGTGTGGGAGCTCCTGGGTAGGCAGAGAGGGCCTCCCGCCGGGTAAGCTGACTTAGGAGGGTCAGGGAAAGATTGTTGTGCTAACTCCGGGAAGGCTGGGACTGATATCAGAGTAACTTTGTGCTGACTAGGTTGTACTCCAGGTTCTTCCCTTGAGTGCCCCTTGTCATGTTTCTGTTCCAAGTGTTATGCCCCAACTATCCCCTGAAAGGACATGCATTTAATTCAGGGGGAGAGGGAGGATATAAATGGCCCCTACGTATACGAAAAGATGCTCAAAGTAACTCAATAAATGAGATGAAAAGTAAAACTCTGTAAGATCTTCGTCATGACAGATTGTCAGAATCCCCAAAAGATTGACAATATATACACTGTTGGCATGGCTACATACAAATAGGTGCCTTCATGCAATGCTAGTGGAAATGCAAAATGGCTTAATCCCTTTGGGGGTTGGAATCCAAAAAGATGGAGCACCGGCCCTTTGTACTCTAAAGTATGTGGAAATTTGCCCTGGCCAGTTTGGCTCAGTGGATAGAGCATCGTCCTGCGGTCTGAAGGGTCCCAGGTTCGATTCTGGTCAAGGGCATGTACCTTGGTTGTGGGCACATCCCCAGTGGGGGGCATGCAGGAGGCATCCAATCAGTGAATCTCTTTCATCATTACTGTTTCTATCTCTCCCTCTTCCTTCCTCTCTGAAATCAATAAAAATATTTTAAAAAAAATAAAGTATGTGGAAATTTGCTAAAGATTTAACCAACAGATCTAGCAGTCTTAACAGTAGTCACAAGGACTCACATTGGTCTAACTCAGAATCCTTAGCAAAGCAAATGGTATAGAAAAGAAAAGCAAAATGGATTCTTGTAGGTCTTCTAAGTTTCTTTTTTTTTTCAAATCTGTATATCAGCGCTTGAGGGCATGCGCAGATAAGAGACAACATAGCCAGCCTGAGGTGGCCATCCTTAGACTCCCTGCTCAGACAAGCTTTCAGGGTCATGGAAGGATGGGCTGAGAGGGACCTTTAAATAAAAAGAAGCCCAGGTGCCTCCCTGGATATGTGATATAGGAAAGAAACTCAATCCCATGAGAAGATCAATGTGAAGGTTAATTTCATGTGTCAACTTGGCGAGGCTATGGTCAAACACTAGTCTAAATGTTGCTGTGAAGGTATTTTGTACATGTGATAAACATTTACAGCCAACTTTAAATAAAGAAGATTATTCTCAGTAATGCCTCACCAAGGCAGGGAAAGCTCTTAAGAGCAAAAATGGAGGTTTTTAAGAAAAGAAGGAATTCTGAGAGATAGATAGATAAAGAAAGAAAGAAAGAAAGAAAGAAAGAAAGAAAGAAAGAAAGAAAGAAAGAAAGAAAAGACAAAAAGGATGTTTCCTATTGATTCTATTTCTCTGAAGAATCCTAACTGATAATGATTGGACTCATTCTTGATGAATTGTGTGAATAAAGAATTTGAAATGAACTAATTGAGAGGCTAGGAACCAAATCTTTAGCAATTTTCCACTCTTCATGGTAGTTAAAGAAAGAAGGAGAAAGAAAATGGCATTTGACAACTTCAGATAATTCGCTTCCCACTTGGAAGTTCGCAATAAAGACCTTCCAGGAGGTTTTCCGAAGTCCACATACCTCACATCCAAAGATGGGATGAGTTCTCAGCCTGTCTACATAAGTAAATGCTTAGGCCCAGCCAGTGTGGCTCAGTAGTTAAGCACTGAGCTATGAACCAGAAGGTCAAGGTTCAAGTCCTGGTCAGGGCACATGCCTGGGTTGTGGACTAAATCCCCAGTAGGGGATGTGCAGGAGGCGGCCGATCAATTATTCTCTCTCATCATGGATGTTTCTCTCTCTCTCTCTCCCTCTCCCTTCCTCTCTGAAATCAATAAAAATATATTTAAACAATTAAAAAATGCTTAGAAAAATTTCCTGTTGACAGGCTATAAGCATAAGGTGGACTTCTATATCTACACAGTTCTTATAAAGAAGCAATACTAGTAAGTAGGTTATTCTAGCCTCAAAGGCAATGAAAAGAATTATGGATGACTCATTGGAGAGAACTGTGCAGGTAAAAAAATGTACATCTTTTTACATCTTCTGGGCCATAAATAAGCTAATTAAATCAAATCCAAAAGACAAACACTAATGAGGGCAACTATTAATAATATGAAATAGAATTTATAGTCTTATTATTTAAAGAGGTCATAACATTCAGTAAGAAAAACCCAAATAGTTAAATTTAAATGCACAAGGACTCTACCAGACAATTCTCAAAAACAGGTTATATGAATGGCTGGCAAACATTTGAAAAAATGTACAGTGCAATTCAAAGAATGCAAACTGAAGCATGAACACAATGAGACTGCATTTTCCATCTAACAAATTGGCAAAAATAGAAAAAAATAAAGCTACCCATGATGGCGCTGACAGGAGTAAGTAGCCTGTTGGAAAGCAATTTGGCAGTACCTGAAACCTTGACTTAGTAATTCCTCTTCTGGCAATCCACCTAAGGAAGGCTGAATGACAAAAGTGTTTCACGCAGCATTATTTAAAATAGCAAGAAACTGCCAAAACCGGTTTGGCTCAGTGGATAGAGCGTCGGCCTGCGGACTGAAAGGTCCCAGGTTCGATTCCGGTCACGGGCATGTACCTGGGTTGCGCGCACTTCCCCAGTGGGGGATATGCAGGAGGCAGCTGATCGATGTTTCTCTCTCATCGATGTTTCTAACTCTCTATCTCTATTTCTCTCCTTTCCTCTCTGTAAAAAATCAATAAAATATATTTAAAAAAATAAAATAAAATAGCAAGAAACTGAAGTATCTGGACGTAAAAAATCAACTGGTTCATTCATTTAGTTATTCATTTAGTTATACTTGTTGAGTACCTGCTATGTGATCATTTCTTAAGACTGCTAAACGATGACTAGTTGTTTTAGGTGTATCTTCTTTTACATTGTGGGAATGTGGCCAGGCCGCATGACTCAGTGGTTGAGTGTTGACCTATGAACCAGGAGGTCATAGTTCAATTTCTGTTCAGGGCACATGCCTGGGTTGTGGGCTTAAAATCCCCAGTGGGGGATGTGCAGGAGGCAGCCAATTAATGATTCTCTTTCATCATTGATGTTTCCATCTCTCTCTCCCTCTCCCTTCCTCTCTGAAATCAATAAAAATATATTTTTAAAAAATGTGGGAATGTGGGTAGAATTTGTATAAAAAATATATGTATATGATTCGTAAGCCTATATATGACTAGAGGCCCAGTGCACGAATTTGTGCATGGGTGGGGGTGGGGAGGTCCCTCGGCCTGGCTGGTGATTGGGGCCAATCGGGGCCGGCTCACCCAATCCTGATTGGGGCCAATCGGGGCTGGTTGGCTGGGAGAGGATGGGGGCAGAGACCGCAGCCAGCTGGGGGTGGGGAGGTGCACTGACCATCCTGGGCAACCTCTACGTTGAGCATCTGCCCCCTGATGGTCAGTGCGTCATCACAGTGAGCAGTCATAAAGGTCAGGTCAGGTTGGGTCATTTAGGCTTTTATATATATAGATTATGAATGTTTATACCACAACTGGAAGGCTACATAAGGAATTCATATCAGAGATTGCCTTTGGTAAAGGAGCTGGGTGAGGTGTAGAAGGAAAATTACTCACTATACTCTTTTGTATCATCTTGAATGTTTAAGCATGTGCATGGATTTTGTTAACATTATGATAGTGCACAGTGTGTATCTGATCTTATTTGTCCATAGGCATGTCTTGAGTTGTTTTCAGGTGATTTCATGGGCGTCTCATCTTCCTGAATGTAGAAAGCTCTTTAAGAGAAGGGACTGTTTCATATTTCTTTGTAATATGATTTCCTCATAGTGCTTAGCACAATTTTGGCACATAATGGGTATTCAAAAATATGTGAATATAAAATAAGGTAATTTGGTACTCAAATATCCTGCGAGTGAAAGTTAAAATCAATGACTCTGGATACTGATTTAATGCTGATTGGTGTATTTTAAAACACATCACTTACATTTTACATCATAGTTTGCTACTCTGCCAATAGGGGAAAAACAAGATAATTGATGACATTCTTTAGTGAAACTTTATATAGAGAAATGCAAAATTCCCTTTTAATTCCTGTGTATCTACATGTAATCTTAATAGTTAAATTGACTTAAAGACCTCAACAGCAAGTAAGGAAACATATAGACAGTCTCAAGGTTTTACTTATTGCAAAAAATAAAAAATTGTAATACAGGGATTGTTCATTTGTAAGAGACTAGGTTTGTTTTCCTATATGTTAGGAGTCTGTAACCTACAACAATTCCTTTATCATGAAACACAGTTTTATTTTGCTTTATTCTCCTCTATATGAGAAACAGGGAACAAAGTTGTTATGGTAATAAGTTGTGTTCAGTGAATTTTTTTCATTTTCTACAGTTTCACAAATGAATGACAACATCATTTGGTTGAACCTCATTTGGTATATTGATTGTCTTCACCAACTACATACACACACACACACACACACCCATAGCCATTTATTTATATTACCGGCTGAAGAAATTAACTGGCAAACTACCAAAGGGAGTATATGTCACTAAGTGAAGTTCCTGAAATGCAGCTCTTGTTTTTTTTTCGTTTCTTTTTGCCAGCAACTTCCGATTATGAGATAGCACATTCTCTGCATTGCACAACATTAGACAGGTCAGGACTGTTCCAGAAGGTACAGACACCATTTGGTACAAAGTACAAAGCAGGGACAAGCTTGAGGATGAGAAGGAACTATTGAACAAAGGACCTGTTTTAAAATATATATATTTTATTGATTTTCCACAGAGAGGAAGGGAGAGGGGTAGAGAGTTAGAAACATCGATGACCTGCCTCCTGCACACCCCACACTGGGGATGTGCCCGCAACCAAGATACATGCCCTTGACTGGAATCAAACCCAGGACAAAGGACCTGTTTTTGCTTCTGAAATTCCCAGGTGGAATTAGTTTGATGTTGAATGCTGTTGGTGAAAAGGCTGGTCCAGTGTGAAAACAGACTTGGAGATAGAGGTGTAAATAAAGTCCTGAGAAGGACCAGGCTCAGTGAGCAAAGTTCTCCCAGCTGGCCCTTGCCAGTTTGGCTCAGTGGATAGAGCTTCGGCCTGTGGACTGAAGGGTCCCAAGTTCATTTCCCGGTCAGGGCACATGCCCGGGTTGCAGGCTGGATCCCCAGTGGGGGGCTTGCAGGAGGCAGCCAATCAATGATTCTTTCTCATCATTGATGTTTCTCTCTCCCCCTCTCTCTCTCTGAAATCAATAAAAACATATTTAAATTAAAAAATATAGAGTAAGATCCCAGTACAACAGTTGACAAATTGCCCATTGCCGATTGCCAGCCTGAATGGGCGGCCCAGTAAGGTCTGGAGGGTATGCCTTGTCAGTAAGGGATAGAGGACACACTGTTGTATTTATTGGGGCTTCAGCAGTGTTTCCTTCAATAAGAGGAATAAGAAAGAAAAAAAGGGTGTTAAGAGAAAGAAAAAGGAGAAAGAGAAAAGAAAAGAAGGAAAAAGAGAAAAGATGAAGAAATTCTCACTTCACAGAGCATTAAAAAAAGAATGAGGATGGGAAAGAGGAAGAGGCGGAAGTTAACATTTATAGATGTCATCTCCTCCTCTGTACAACCCCAAAGTGGTATTTTATCACCATTTTACAGTTGAAGGAGGGACAAGTCCCACAGCTGTGAAGGAATAGCGCTGGACTCAAACCTGACTATACTAATTCCCCCTCCTTTCTATAGGAAAACTTTCAAATCAGCCAAGAGGACATTTGTGAACTATGATTTGGCCAATTGGGGATAAGTGTGTTAAGGGAAATCAGCATTACTTGCAAAATTGTCGCTGTAATGTTAAGTTAGATTTCACCTTTGGGAAAGAGGTCATGAAGGGCATGGAAAGCTTTAAACGCCTTTATATCAATCCTGAATACGTGGGATCGGCATTTACTACCAGCATAATAATGATAATGACATGCCTTAAGAAAAACAACTGGATTAGTTTATCCTGCAAATGGAAACCTGAAAGGAGGTATAATGTTTAATGGTTTTAAAATATATATTTTTTCTGGCCAGTGTGGCTCAGTTGGTTGAGCGTCTTCTTTTACCAAAAAGAGGTCATGAAGGGCATGGAAAGCTTTAAATGCCTTTACATCAATCCTGAATACATGGGATCGGCATTTACTACCAGCATAATGATAATGATAATGACATGCCTTAAGAAAAACAACTGGATTAGTTTATCCTGCAAATGGAAACCTGAAAGGAGGTATAATGTTTAATGGTTTTAAAATATATATTTTTTCTGGCCAGTGTGGCTCAGTTGGTTGAGCGTCTTCTTTTACCAAAAGGTTGCTGGTTCAATTCCTGGTCAGGGCATATACCCAGGTTGTGGGTTCGATCCACGGTACGGGAGGCAGCTCTGATCAATGTTTCTCTCTGTCCCACACTGGGGATCGAGCCTACAACCCGGGCTTGTGCCCTGACCTCCTGGTTCATAGGTTGACGCTCAACCACTGAGCCTGGGTAAGCCAGGCTTCTAAAAGCCTCCAACAGCACTGGCTTGAAGAGATGAAATACTATAAGGAAAGGAAATCTAGGAAAATGTTCATTATAGAATCTCAGTGGAATATAGGTGACTGTTTGCTGCATAGTTCTTTCAAGCTTTTCTGTATGTTTGGGAATTTTCACCATAAAATGTGGGGGGAAATCAATGACTTGATATTTGCCACGGTCAACCAATTTTGGTTAAGAGGAAGGCCAGTATAAAAAAGGTTTCTCATCCATCCTGGCAGAGTGCATTGGGGGGAGTGGGGTGGGGGCGGGGGTAGGGAGAGGGACAGGGGCTCAGTGTTGGTCAGTGTTGGCATCTCTTCTGGGAGGGATTTCATGAGGGGCCCAGCCAGGGCTGGTAGACAAAGCCGGGCAGAGGCAGACGTCCATCTGTGGGCTTTTTCTACCAGGAACCACTAGCTGCCCTAAAAGCTTTCATCTCGGGGCAGAGAAATTGAGAACTGAGCTGAATGAAGTGGCCCAGGTCTTCTCGCAAGAGAAACACCCACGGTAGGGAGCCTTGGAGAGCCCCATTCCATTCGTTTTCTCTCTGTTGGCCCACATGGCCCTGAACTAGAAGCAGTGCCTCCAGCTGCGTGAGTCACAGAACCAGCCCAGCCTCTGGCACTGCAGGTCCTTCTGGAAAAGATGACAGGGGCATATTTGGAAAAGCTCGCTGTGTGTTCTTATTGCTGC